AACTCTGTGTAGCTGCCTCTTAATAACCCTATTTTTCATTCATTCATTCATTCATTCATTCATTCATTCATTCATCTATTCATTTATCCTTCAAACATCCCCCTCACCATGCAACATTATTTTGAGTACTATCTTTTGGGAGCTATAGAAGGAGTTGAGGGGATGAAGGGACACTGAGAAATGCTGCCTCTAGGACCCCAGAATCCATCTGTGAAGAAATCTCATTTACCTTACACCCTTCCGTATGTTGATGTGAGTCGGGCAATCAGAAGCCACTGGACAAGTTGCCGGCATGGACGGACCCTTTCTCAGTCAAACCCAGATGACAAGTCTAGGCTACAAGTAGCCTAACCCTTCTCTGCGACCACAGCCAATGGGGGAACCAACTCTCCTACTTGAGCTCAGGATCCTGTGTTTCCTGTCTCTTAGCAGGAGGTGGGTTCTAAAAGAGAGTGGGTGGGCTCCCCAGGGCAAGCTCTCACTTCAGAAGGACGTAGTGGGGGTCTCCCACCACCTCCCACCCTTTCCTTCAGAAGAGCGGGGCTCTATCCCAGAATCCCCATCAGATCTTTGCTTAGTTCTTTGGGGACAGAAGGAGAACAAGCGGCCACTCCTAGGAAGCCTGGGACAAAACAAAGAGAAGAGTCTCACAGCTGGCTTAGGTCAAAGGTCCACTCAGTGTGGGTCACAACTGCTCCCCTCAGCCTCTAGGGTTGGCAACAGCCGTATGTAAGCATGGATGGCTGTGCTCCCATAAAAGCACGTATGTGCATTTACACACCTGAATGTCTGGCAGTTTCCATGCACCGCAAACTATTATTCTAACTTTCTTCAAAAATGTCAAATAAAGGTAAAAATCTGTTTCCTGGAACTAGTGAGAAGCTGATGGTCAAGAGCGCTAGCTGTTCTTCTGGAGGACCTGCATTGCATCCCCAACGCCTGCTTGGCGGCCTACAACCTTCTGTAACTCCAGGTCCAGGAATCTGATGTCCTCCACGGACACTGCACACACACCGTGTGTGTGGCACTGCACACACACGGTGCACGTACATACTTTTGGGCAAAACATTCATACACTTAAAAAAAAAAAAAAAACTAATTTTTTTAAAAATCTGTTTTCAGGGTGTGAGGCATAGCTGGATGGGAGAGTGCTCATCTGGACCTGGGCTCTGACCACACAGGTCACTCACACTGGGCTTGATGGCACAGGCCTATAGTCCTCAGCTACGTAGGAATTCCTCCCATCTTCTGTTTTTCGTCCTTAAGTGAGATTCTATCTTAAACTCAGGCTTTTCCAGGGATCCTGCACTTACCTTTTTCTCATACTGTCCATGGTATGTGTAGCTGGGCATATGGAGGCTCTCAGATATACCAGCACCCTAGATGGAGAGTCAGGCATTCCCCTCCCCCACAGCATTCTGGAAAAGCATTGCTCCTCATTCCCAGGAAGGACCCCCAAAGTTCCCCTGTACATCCTGTTCTCCTTGTCACTTTCAATCTAGGTAATTAAACTGAACACCTCGAAGGTGATGAAAGATTAATTTGGCATTCAGCCTGCCCGGAAATGAAATCCAGGGGGAAGCACACTTGGTGAGCCTGGCTAGAAGTAATTAAAAAATCGTCCTGCTGGGCAAGAGGAGTAACTAAGCCATTACCATAGCTGTGGAGGGGAGAGTAGAGAGGCAGATGGTGACTGCTGAGCTTACATGGAAACAGGTCACGTCCAAGCCCCTCGTCTCTTACTGCTACGTGGCTGTTGCTAACAGTTGTGCTGCAAAAGCAGGTTGTTGGCAATCAGGAACTGTGTTCCTGAACTGGTGCCTCTCACTCTGCTCTCTGTGTGGGTCCTGGCCACCTCCTTTACTCTTCCCATTTCATGGATCCCCCTGCACCTTTGGAGCCCGACGCCATGTTGGCACGCCTTCACCTTTTGCCCCGGGTCCAGTGCAGCCTGTTCAGTCTTTCCTTTGGCATGTAGCCACTAAGGATGGTTCTTGGTGTAGCCCCCGCCCTACCCTGGGTGTTCTTTCCTGTTCCTCATCTCCAAGGCAACAGTCCTACTTCTTGAGATGCCAGCCTGGAAGCTGATATTCCAGGATGCTGCAAAAGGGCATTTCCTTTTCCCATCTCGGAAGCCACCAGGGGCCTTCACACCTCCAATACCATCCAACTTTCCCATCTGGTGTCTTTGAACACTGTGAGCAGCAGGAAATAGCTAGTTAACCCTCGAGGGCCAGAACAGCTTTTTGGTGGAGCTTAGGAGCCCACTGGGGAAACTGTTTCACTCAAGAAGCTCTCTGGACCCATTGCTAACTGCTCCGAATGAGTTGCTGCAACTTCTGTGTCTTTCTACGGCCTTCTAAAGGACTAGGCTGCCATTAGCTAAGCATGGCTACTGAATTTAAAGTTAAATTGAATAATATGAAAAGCTCAGTTCCTCAGCTATATATGTGACCAGTGGCAACTGTGCTAGGGAATACAGATAAAGCACATCCTCTTCCCAGAAAGTTCTACTGGATGCTGCTCTGCTGGAAGGCAAGCTTTAAGGGCATGGACGTGGAAGCCTGGCAGATGGTCTGTGGCCCTGGGCCACTCGCTTGGCTTCCTGAAGCTTCCTGGCTTCTTCATCTGGAGCAGCAGCTATCTCAGTGAGTCATGAAGTCCAGAGAAGGCGACTCAAGTGAGTGCTCACCCTGTACAGTGATGGATAAAGAAAGATCTGCTAAGAGTCCCTTGGGACCCTAAGAGGATGGGCTGTAGCATGGAGATGCGGAAAGACGTAGGATGCAGGAGACAGAGCTCCAACTCCATCCCTCTCTGAAGGCTGTAGCCTGTATACCCCGCTTCTTTAAAAAAATTGAGATGAAATGGAAAACTCTAGAACAGATCCCTCCCTCGAAGCCTGGGTTCCAAGTACCTAGAGAGCAACTTGAGGGAGATGCTCTTCAGGGTAAGAACCCCAAATGCAATGGAGCATCTTGCATCCTAAATCCACCTGCTCTTCTTCCTTTGCATCCTAGCTTAGGAGCAGTGCCCACTGTCTAAGAAGCTGGAAATTATATTTGCTTGATCTCCAAATTTTATGATTCTATGACTTACTGTTCTATAAACAAGGTAGGCTCTCAGACATGAGGAACAATGAAGGACCTTGTCACCTACTGCCTCTACCTACATATATACATAAAGTCATGTGACTTTACCTCCTCAAATCTGATCTACCCCTTCTCTCCAATTCTATGCCCAGCACACTATCAAGGCCACATTATCTCCTATCCCTCCATTGTTTCCCAGTGTCCAGCTAGGTTCCCTCCACCACAGTCCTCTGCAAAAGCTAAGTATTTAATGTCACCACTTTTCTGGTCAAAGTCCCTCAAAAGTTCTGTTCACCTGTGTATCTCTGAAACCTGGCACTTAATGAACAATCCCCAAATGCTTAGCTACATGAATGCATGAATCTCTTGAAACACCCCAATCCAAGAGACTTCCAGGAGTGTGTGACAGAAGTGAACGGGGGACACCCAGACTCTAAATTTGGATGACACCTCCGAGTGGAAAGATGCGAAGAGTTATTGTAACTGAGACAACACGGACTCATAAGTAATGCAGGGTTCCTTCTGAGAAATGATATGTCCATGAGGATAGAGGAAATGATTGTTCTACATGGATTCCCGGAACAGAAGCCCAACCACAGCGCATAACGCGGTGCTTCCCTGACTGTGTGGGCAAAGGTATGCTGAGCAGTTCCGAGGAAGAAGAGATGACCCCACTGGCCAGTTCCACAGCCACTGCCACCAAGTCAAGGATCCCAGTTTTCCACTTGGCCAGTGCTAAACAAGTTCAAGGTGAAGTCTGGGTTCCCTCATTCATCAAATCTGGCTAATGTTTCTGTGGGCCTCAATTTCCTCTTCAGCATCCCAGGACTGCAAGCCTCCTGTCTTAGTCTGTTTTCTGTTACTTTAAAGAAAAAAGAAAACAGGGTAGGGAAGGGTGTGCTGGTGCATGTCTTTAGGTCCAGCACTTGGGGAGCAGAGGCAGGAGGATATCTGTGAGTTTGAGGCCAGCCTTGTCTACACAAAGAGCTCCAGGACAGCCAGGGCCACATAGACCCTTTCGAGAAAAAGGAAAAGGGAAGAAACTGGAGAGTAAGCAGTTTATAAATAGGTGACTTGCCTCATGCTTCAGAGGTTAGGGGGCTAAGACAGCAGGTCACAGCACCTGGAGGGCATTTTCTTCTTCGTAACACTGCAGAAAGCCTTCCAAGGTGAGCCAGAGCTGGTGTGTGCTCTCCTGATCTCTTCCTCATCCACTAAAGCTAGTGAGGTTGTCCTTAGGGCCACACACCCCATGACCACTGCTTCACAGAGCTAATCACATGACTCCATCCCAAGTCGAAGCTGGAGCTACTAAGGAGGGCTGAGAGCTGAAGACCACGCCCTTCTGCCTCTGTGCTGTTGTGGAGTTATCCATCAGAGAAGACTGTTCAGCCATGGGTTTAAGCCAGTTTAAGCTAGTCAGTGACTACACTGGGTGTTTGGGATCCCAAGATCCCCAAGTCTTTCTTAGTGCGAGCTTTTAAGCACAAAAACCATGTTCGAGATTTACATTCTTCAGTTAGCAAGAACAGTTCTCCAGAAGCAGAACTACAGAAGCTAAAAAGCAAGGTTACGATATTTTTTTTAAAAATTCCAGAGCTATATGGACTTTGATGGATTAGGCCACTGTTTTAGTTTTGGCAGGTAGTGCTGTCAACATGCTGAATTTTATAGCCTGAATAGTACTTCCAGCATGGAGTCAGTTGTGTTAAGGTCTGGGGCCCTGTTACAATGCATAGCCTAAAGCACCAGCCTAAAAATGTGTTTGTAGAACTGAGATCTAGAGAGAAATAATGTAATAGCATTATTTGAGCTCTAAAGCCAGCCTTGCATAATACAAGATCACCTGGGTTTGAACCAAAATATTTATTTATTCTTTGTTTATGTACTCACTGATTATTTTTTATTTTCCTTAAGTTTATTCGTGTACTTGCTTTTTTTGTTGTTGTTTTTGTCTTTGCTTTTTGTTTTGTTCTGTTCTGCTTTGTTTTGTTTTTGAGACGGTTTCTCTGTGTAGCTGTGGCTGTCCTGGACTCACTCTGTAGAACAGGCTGGCCTTAAACTCATGGTGATCCACCTGCCTCTGCCTTCCTGAGTGCTGGGATTACAGGTGTGCGTCATCATGCCCAGCTGGTTTCTTGTACTTGCAAGTGAAAAGTGTCATCTTCTGTTCAGAAAGCGTCCTGGAGGAGATGTGAAGGAAAAGATTCATGATCATTGGTGGAATCTGAGCCAGGGAGTTATAAGGACATTCCAGGTGAAAAGGCCGTTTCAATCGCGTTTCGGTGGTGGGCATCCCTCCCACACTGTACAGCCCAGTAGCTTTTAACACTGACCCCCTCCCTCAAGAGCCTCGACAGCTCTTGAGTCATGTGAAATGAATGGTGTCAGCCTCACAGGCTTTGAAGCTCAAGATGTGTCCTCACTGTTAGGTGATGGTGACTCCCGACAGGTGACTGCTTGCACATACAGCCAATCACTCTCATGGAGGAGGATAAGGTCTGATGAACAGATGGGAAGGCCTGAACCCTTCCCTGGGCTTTGTGCCTCTTCTCAGTCCTCATAACAACCGGATAGGATATTTGGCGCTGGGATTTAGAGACGCAAAAGTTACCAGGTCAATATCACAGAGGCAACAAGCAGAGCTACCGTCCCCACCCAGGTTGTTCCAAACACATGCTGTTCCTACCACGGTGGCTATTCACATGGCCGAGGGAGGTCCGATCTCTGTCAGCTGAGCACAAAAGGCTATACGTAAGAGCAGGCGGCTGGCCCACACAAATATGGAAAGGAGCGTGTCATGTATGAACAAGAGTCCAAGCATAGCAGGGAAAAGGGCCTCCAGCCACCCGGCTTTTCAAGATGCAGAGCCTGATGTCATGCAAAACCCTCTGGGGGGAAGGGGACAGAGGAATCCCAGAATTGAGAAGTCGTAAGTCCGAGCCACTCACAGAAGCTGGAGGGGCCATGGTCTTAGAGACACATACATTCTGGTAAATCCTCAAACACTGTGCCTTGCAGGATGGGCTACAAGGAGAGGCCAGGGTTGAGAATGATGGAAGATGAGAGAACACTTCTCCCGAGGATGGAAGAGAGTCCCGGATCTGTGCATGCCTGAGGGAGGAGGAGGTTGTGTTGTGGTTTGGGTGAGCTTTTCTGTCTCCTTTTAACTGTCAGTAAATGGTAGGGCCTGCACAGCCTCTGCCAGCCTGCTCCCTCCTGACTCAGGAAAGGTGAGGGATGTTTCAACAAGCCACCGGTACCAGGAGCTAGGCTCCCAGGGTCTCCCCACAGCAGGCAGCTTGTTCCTCTGCACTTCTCCTATGAGTGTCTCTGCATGCAGAGGCGTGTGGCCTACTGGGACCAGGGTGAAGAGAACTGGCCAGCCTGACCTGAGGGCAGCAGCCCTTGAGCCTTGTCACTGCTTCCCATCACTGTGGCTCAGCCTCATTCCCAAGCAGGTGGGAGGTGTCACTCCCATTTTATAGAGAAGTGAGGCCTGGAGAAGATTGCCCAAGCTCTGGAGCAGGGAGTGCTCTGGGATGTTTGGAATGAAAGCCTGGAACTGCGGGCTGAGGCTTCTTCCCTGGAGTCCATCAATACGCCTGTGGCAGTGCCTGGGCGCTGCAGTCCGGGAAGATCCCTCAGCTTCCCCAAACCTTAGTGTGCTGACCACCACTGGAAGCCCCTTGGCCACCCAGCGTGTCTCATGGCCAGTATGTTCTTGCTTCTTCCACTCTTTATTCAAGTCCTCTGTGAACAAGGCAGCCAAAGCAGGGACCTTTGCCTGGCCCCCTGCCCAGGGCCTGCTATGTCTCAAGTCCTTTCTTCTTAGGGTTGATACCCAATGCTGGCCAATGTAGGTGGCCCTTGCCACAGTAAAACACGTATGTGCTTGCTGCAGAAAGAGACAGTTCTCTAGCTCACCTGTGTCCCATTTTGCAACCAGGCCCCAGAGAAGCCCCTCCACCTTTCTTAGCAGCCGCCTCTCTAAGAGGAGTGGAGGAAGAAGCCACTGTGTGGTGGCATAGAGGAAAGGGCTATTTCTTGTCAGCCTGCCTCTGTTTACACAACTGAGGTAAAAGCCTCAACTCAGTTCTAATGTGCACCATGATTAAACTTCTGCTGTATACACCTGTCCTGCACTCATGGGGAGTGGGAAAGGGGGGAGGCAGATTAGGAGACACCAGTCAGCATCTGCCTACAGCCATGGACTGGAGAGATGGAAGAGTCAGGTCAACCAAACAGCCCCAGAACAGAGTTAGCTCAGAAGTGACTCAGACCTTCACCCTGGTGAATGGGTGTAAAGCCTGCACCTTTGTAGTCCATGAGGCAGAGCTCGCCTGAGGCGGAGCTGTTACTGGGAAGAGCTGAAATAAAAGGCCGCAGGGAACACTGGGTCTTGGTGACATTGTTCAGATTCTCCAATGAAGCTCTATCTGAAACTGGCCACTGGCCAACTTTTTGGACTTCAGTTTCAAGGCCAATAGATTCCATTGTTGCAGGAAACAAACAAACAAACAAACAAACAAACAGTCATTCTTGAGCATAAGATTTGGAGCCCTCCCTTCCCTCCCACACCATCCCTGCCCTTTCACCAGACTTCCTCCTCAGAGGCCCATCTACCCACATGCAAAGTAACTTGTAAAACAGAAGATGTCCGGGGCAACCCAAGACTAGCCTGTAAGCATCTTTGTATGGGAACAGCTTTATACTATACAGAACAACTCAACCAGGATTCAGGCAAAATATGAATTAGTGATGAGGGAAAAGGCAAGAGATGAGAAAGGGGGTCAAGAGAACAAGGCCCAGCAGCAAACACTGACCCCCTCCCCAACCTCCCACGCAAAATGACTCAGAGCCCCAAGCAATTCTGTGTCTCTGGAAAGATGGTGCCTACAGCACGCTGAGCCAAGAAAGGCTTCCACCCTGACTTAATTTTCTGACCCTGTCCTTGTAGTACCTCGGCGGTAGGTTGACCTGGGAGAGAGGAGAGACCAAGTTGCTGTTTGTTTATTGATTGATATTTTTTAAGTGGCCCTTGGCCCAGGATGATTAATCCTTGAGCTAAGAAGCCTCTTGCATACTTTAACCTCACTTCATCTTTCCACACCCTTTCCTTCCTGAGCAGGGTCTTAGAGGTGATTCAGGCCCACATTCTCTTCATTCCTGTTACCCTGTTCAGCGTCTTCCCCTGGCCTGCATTTCCTGTGGGTCCCTATTGTGTACACACCAGGCTGTTCCCACAGCCAACTCAGTCAGTGTCTCTGGGTGTGTTGGGGAGGTAGACTGCTCAGTTTCTAATGTACCCTGATGGACTAGGGCCTGAAGAGTATGGCTACTGGGATTTATCCCTGATGGAAAAAAAAAGGGGGGGGGGAGGAGGGGAGACATCCCTCGGCTTCATGTTCTCCCCCAAGGTTTCATCTTCATTTCTCTCTGCCCCAAAGACAAGGAATAAAAATCGAGAACGCCCATGAGTACAGGCCCCACCTGAACTCTGAGTTCTGGTCACAGTCTGCAGCAAGGCTAGCCACGAACCAGAACTGACAGGGTGCGTAGGCCCAGGCTGTTTACACCCCCGGCCCACCCCAAGACTGTTGGCTAAGACAGCGGAGAGTCCAGTCAGTTCCTTCTCTCTACCTTTATCAGGAAAACTGTTCTCAAACTGGAGGCTACCAGGCCACCAGCCAAACATAAATGCTTTAGTTCTTTCAGGTATAAATCAAGCTGCCTTGATTGTCCCACAATGAGACTGCAGCCATATTTGGAAGAAGAGCAGGAATCCAGATGCAAATTACCTGTGCTTACAGGCCATACAGCAAGTGCTGACTCACCAAGAGGGAGCTCTGTGCATCCCTGCCCCAGGACCCTGAGCAGGATGTCAGAAAGAGAGTAAAATGGAGGGACTGTCTCAGAGGGCCATGAAGCAGGACAGGAACCCACACGAGATAATAATTCTCTACCTGCATTTGAAAGAATGTGCACCATTGTTGTAGCTACTGTTCATAGCAGCTTTACTTTAAAGTTGTGGATCAAAGCTGGAGGCAAACTCTATCTTAAAATAAACAGACACTAAGGGAACAGGGAGACCACAAGGGAACGGTTTCTGGGAGGGAACGCCACGAAGAAGAGGCTTTTAGGGTCAAGCCATTCAGTTTGGAGACGGTGGCTAAGCAGAAGCACATGTCAGCCTCAGATCCATCACCCTCGCCCTCCATGGCAGAATCTCCAGGGTACAAGCAGGGGACTCTGGACCGACCACCCAAACCTTGGAACAGGTCCAGCCCGATGGCTGCCTGGCTCTCCTTCCAACTGAAGCCCGACCTGACCCTGATCTTGCAAACCTTCTAGGGAAACATTCTCAGCTCAGTGCTCCACCTTTCTGGCCCTATGAGCTCACCCAACACCTGCTTATCCCAGGGCACCATATCTGTTGGTATTGATTTCTCTTTCTTTATTACTTGTCTCCTGCACAGATCATAAGGTGGATGAAGGTGAGAACAGGACCTATTGGGTTCTTGGCAGGAGCGCAGGGCATTAACGGTGAACTTGAAGCTTGAACAGCCTGGCCTCAGGTTCCCATTCCCTTACTCACCTGTTCCTTGGCCTTAAGCACGTGACTCCTTTTCCTTGGCTTCAGTCTTTCCCTCTCTAAAAGCAGAGATTAGAATTTATAACTATATCACATGGTTGGCACAAGGAGCTAAAGACACTGTACTCACCACTTAGCATTGTCCTTGGCTCATAGGAAATAGTCAATAGATATTAGAGAAAATCTCAAGAGAAAACCATTCCCTAAAACTTAGTAACTAAAAACAAAACAAGAAATAAACAAACAAGGGCTGGAGAGATGGCTCAGCCATTAAAGTCTAGTCACAACCAAAAATATAAGAGAGAGAGAGAGAAACATATAACCGGGCTAGGTATATGGCTCAGCCAATTAAAGCATTTGCTATGCAAGGGGAGGATATGGGTTCTGGTCCCTAGAATCCACATAAAAAGCCATGTGTAGTGGAGCATACCTGTAATCCCAGAATGGCAGGATGGGGGACAGAGACAGGCAGTGCCCTGGTCCCTCATGGGCTAGTTAGCCTGATGTGCCTGGCAAAGTTCCAGGCCAATGAAAGACCCAAAGTACTCGAGGACCAACACCTAAGGCTGTTCTGTTATCTCTATATGTCTGCAGCATGTGTGTGCTCTCCTCTGCCCACACACAAAAAAACAAATTCCAGTCACTTAGTGTTTCGCAGTTCTGTGAGAGCTTGGTCAAGGCTCACCACAGTGGCTCATCTCTGCTGCAAGCAATTTAGGCTGAATTCAGTCAGATTTTTGGTTCATCGGCTTGTCTGTGGGACTGTGGTCTCACTCACTCACCTGATCACTGGTTGAGGGTGTCACTCAAACACCATTCTCCATGTGCCCTTTCCAGCAGGCTAGCTAAGGCTTCCACATATGGCAGTTGAGCTGGAGGAGGCCAATCCTGAAAGTCTAGTGCCACTTTCACAGCATTAGTCAAAGCAGGTCATCCCAGAGACCAAAGAAGAAATGTGGTAGGTTTTGTTAGAAGGTAGTATGCCCAGCAATCCCTCAGGCTCTACATGTGGTTGTTTCTTTAGTCTTCATTGTGTTTTCCAGTTTCTAGCATGTATACAGAGGTGCCTGGTTCAGCATGCATTAAATTTATTCTTATTAAAAAATAAATAAGTAGAGATGGATATAATCCTAGCACTTGAAAGACAGAGTAGGAGCATCTTGAGCTCAAGGCCAAGGTAAGCTCATGTCAAAAAAATGACAGGTCTGGACATGTGATTTAGTTTAGTGGCAGGTGGCATACAATAGCTTACATTTGTTCCCTAAGTACAGAAAAGGAAGGGAAAATCATAAATAAGAAAACGAAGGAGAAACCAGAAAGAATTGTCTTGTTCAAGGTCACATGAAGAAGTAGCAAAGTTAGGACCATAAATTAGGTCTTTTAGTGTTCAGCATTGCCTCTTCTCATCACACCAACCTGACTAGACAATTGTCCTGGGTGAGGCTCTGTTCTCCAGACAGTTGCCTTGCTCTTCAGCTTCCACTGAGTCCCCGGAGATACCTGGTACCCTAAGACTGTGCTGCTTTCTAAAGGGTCCAGGGCAAAGAGAAGGGAGCATTTCTCATTCCCCAGGGCACAGAAGAGCCCAGAGCATGTTCAGAGCAGCAGCAGACCTCCTCAGTCCCCGGTGGACGTGGGTGGGAGACGGGGAGGTCAGAGATGGAGGCAGCCCTCAGGATGCACAGCTTGCGTATTTTCTCACCAGCCAGATCTGAATACACACAAACACACACACACTCACACACACACACTCATGTACATACGAAGGCATGCTCCCTTATTTTCCTCTTTAAAGCCTGAGAGAAAGCTGTCCTTTAGCTGGTGGACCATTCAGCTGTGGGTTGGCAGAAGCGAGGAGAGCATGGGAAAGTCAGCTGGCCCAGGAAGTTGGGAAATGCAAGCAGCATTTCTGTTATCAGCCCCTCCCTGTTGTGGCACCAGGGGAAACCAGAGTCCCTGAGCACCCCACTTCCTCCTAGGAGAGGAACTTTTTGGGCCTGCTGAGTCACCTGCTGGGGGAACACACCTATTTTCAGCCTGAGGTAATGAACTCTTCGGTCACCTAGACCACATTCTCTTGAGTTTTTGTTTGTTTTGTTTTGTTTTTCATTATGGTTAGTGTGACTGGATGAACACCATAGAGCAGAGGATCCCCTCCCCCAACCAAGGTACCCTCTCTTCTCATTTCCTTTCTCAGAGTAGCTTTCTTTGCAAGAAAGTCACTCACATGGCCATAAAAGAGAGTGTGGCAGAGTGACCATGGGGACACACTAAGATGGCTCAGTGAGAGCAACCCTGCCCTTGGGGATGGGTTTGTGTGTGCATTGCTCTAGTTAAGTCGTTATTATTTGTAGCTTTCCTGTAGACCGTAACCTCTCTTACGCCTGGGTGGACCATCTGCATGATACCGCCCTTGGAGGACAGCACTGTTTGGGAGCTAAGACGATGGTGGCCCTGGAGGCCAGTAGCCTGCTTAAAGGTAGGCTTGACCATACAATGATTGACTTGGGCCACACCCTTTTCCTTTAAGACATGACCTCTTAGATCCTGGGCTGCTGCCAAGGCCTCAGAGGCAGGGCATGGATTCCTGGGATGTCAAAGCAGGAGGAACATCTAGATGTCATTAAGTCTGACCTCTAACCCCCAACCACACACATACTTTCTTGATAGGAAAATGGGAATGGAGGAAGGATCAGGGGTTCACCTGGATCCAGTGCCCAAAGACCCCTTCAGGGCATCTTTCAGCCAGAACTACCTCTTTGGCAAAAACCAATAAAAAGTAGGTGCCAATGGTCATCTTGTCTTGACCAGAACCAATAGGCTGAGTCAATCTGGGTTACCCTAAGAGTGGTCCCCAGTGAAGGTGTCAAGTCACCTATGCCAATAGGCTGGGGATGGTCCACCTTCTCCAGGGAGTGGCCGGCCACCCTGCCACGTGTGAGGAGCCAGCAGGGCGGGTTGCTGTTGTGGGCTCCTTCTGGGAACCAGAACAATATGCTTCAGTAAAGCAAGGTCCTGGGTGGAGTAGGGTCCAAGATCCATCCAGAGATGGCATGGAGGGATCTTGTTATTTCCCTCTCTCAGGAAGCTTCTTTAGGAGGGAAGTGGGGGGGAAAAAGCCCCAGAAAATGGCTCAAAGTGCTTAAGCATCCTTCTACTGAGGACCACCAGCTTCTGAGCTCACTAAGTCAATTCTGTTTTGTGTAGGCTTTTCTGCAGCGCCCCCCATCCCCTTTAAAATGGTACTTGCAAGCAGCTTTTAAAAACTAAACAGGAACAACACTCAAATCTCCTCTAATGTCTTTTACCAGGTTCCTCTGCCTCAAAGCAATTACTTTTGCTACATATGTGTGTGTGTACATGTGTAGCTCATCATTTTTTACATTAATGTGAACATAGTGTATACATTTCTCTTGGCACTCTTATTTTTCATTCAATACTGTACTTTGGAAACTCAATCATATTGTTAACTGAAACCTGTCTTCCTTTTTTATTTTTTAACTTTTAATTAATTCTTTGTGAATTTCACATCATGTATCCCAATTCCACTCATCTCCTTGTGTCTTCAAATCCACCCTTTGCTCTTGAAATCAATAACTAAATATAAATCAATATACATATTGATTTAAATCAATAACTAAACACATACATACATACATACAAAACCAAAAAAAAAAAAAATCTTTCCATGGAAATTGCAATTTACCCTTTAGTAAACATTTTTTTTTTTTTTTGCTTGCAAATGTTCGTTGCATTGAGTCATTTGTGTGGTTTGAGGCCTCTGGCTTTTGCTACATTATCAATACTGGATCCTCACTGGGACTCCTCTCAGATACCCTGTTGTTGCCCTGTGTCATGGAGATCCTGAGGCTTTGGATCTGCAGGACTGGCCCTTTCAAGTGCTCCAGCAGATAAAGATGGGGTAGATGTTGGGGTGGGCCAACTCAAAGCCCTGGGTCTGGGTGGTAGCTGGTTTGGTCGGCCCACCAGCTCTACGGTGCCAATTAGGTGAGGTGCATGCCCGCTCTCCCAAGTGCTGCAGGCGGGGAGAGATGGAGGGAGGGCACAGAAACTCTGTCTTTCTAATAGCTGTGGATAAACCTTGACTTAATATTTTTCACCCTGTTTGCTTGGTTGCTCCCTCTTGATTGGCATTTAATGCCTCTCCAGTGTTCAGCTCCTTTGATGAACATTGGTGTGAACATGTCTTAATGCTACTCTTCTTGCTTCTAAAAGCAAGAAGCTCTCAGGCAGCCAAGGAAACCCCACAGGGACCTGAGGGAGGCCTCTGCAAAAAGGATGTGGGCAGCATGGTTGAGTAAGATTCATTATTTGGATTTATTTTTAAAACCTTTATTCTGATTATAAAATAGAACAATCTCCTAGGAAATGTGGGAAACTAAGAGTCGTGAAAATGCAAGTTCCCTAGGGACGGGAGCTGGAGCTCATGGTGGAGTGCTTGCCTAGCAGGCACAAAGACCTCCAGTCTGTCCTTACTGTGCCAGAAAACTGGTGTGGTGGCACATGCTAGAGTCTCAGCGCTTGAAGTTTATATATGTGTGTATATGTATATTATCATCTGGAACTTCATCATGCAGAGGGATCCACCAATGATGTTTAGAACTTCTCCTGCCAGTACATTTTTCTAGGAACAAAAGAGAAGGTAAGTAGAGGCCAAGGGAACATGTAAGAATGTCATCTAGTGGGGTCACCTCCAAGCAGAGGGGAACTCCAGAGAGCCTGGGCTCTGAGAAAGCAGAGAGGTTTAGTGCAGGAGCAGGCAGAAGCGCATCAGGATAGGGTGAGGTCACAGGCGAGCCTGAGGTTGCCCCTTGGCCACAAGGTCCTGGAACCACAGCGGACAGCAAAGCTCAGAATGGTAAGATCAGCCCTGCAACAGATCTGAGGGGAACAGACTCAAGATTTTAGAAGAACAGGGAAGAAAAAAGTCATCAGGACTTTGGAAGAGTTAACACTGGAGGCCCAGAGGAGGCTATTTCTAGAATATTAACTTGAGAGTTAATATTCTTGGCTCAGCAGATAGAGTCTATGCATCAAGCCTGGTGACCCGAGTTTCATCCCAGGATCCCACATGGTGGAAGGAGAGAACCAAATCTTGCAAGTCGTCCTCTGACTTCTACATGAATGCTGCGGCAGACTACCTCCCGACATACACACAATAAGTAAATCTAATCCAAACATGTTTAGAAAGTGAGACATGAGGTTTTGGTGTGGGTGGCGTGACTGAGAAAGACATGGCTCTGGCTCTAAGAATACAAGTTTGGAAATAGCAAGATTTTGGTTAAGGGTTGAAGATACCACTTATCAGCTGAGCAACTATTCCCCGGGTCTTATTTCTCCACCTACAGTTGCAGACGACATGGATATACCTACAACAAGCCATCAGTCTGGGAATTTCTCAAGTGGCACAAGAGCCAAATGAGGTACCTGGCACACAGAGGCCACCCTGGCATGTTTGGGGCGTACAGAATGAGAATATGAAAGGCAGAGGGACAGGGTGGCAGAAGGTGCTAAGAGGAGCAGATGAGGTGACTGAAGGTGTGTCCATCTCTGCTTTCCCTATTTTAGGAATCAGAAGGTGGGGTGGGTGTAGCTGAATTTTAGACTGCGTGCCTAGTTTCATGAGGCCCTGGGTGTGATCCCTAGCACCATGTAAACTCAGCATGGTGGCGCATGCCTGCAAACTCAGCACTCAGTAGGGAGAAGCAGGGGTTTCAGAGTTCAAGGTTCTCCTCGGATTCTTAGAGTTTGCACACAGCCTGGTATACATAAAAACTGCCAAACAAACAACAACAAAAAACATTTCATAGGAAATTTTTGTCTTTCCATCCATCCATCCATCCAACTTCCTCTCCTTTACTCTCTTCATCCCTCCATCCACCCATCATTTTATGACATACTCATTAGATCTTTAGGCCTGGGCTAATTGCTAAAGGGAAGGCATTAGAGAAATGCAAAGAGGAAGTGAGGAGAAGAGCCAAACCTATCCTACCACTTCAGGAGCCTGTGTTTAACTGGAAGAGTATCATGTAATGAAGGACATAACAACATCACAAAATGTTGTGACCTGACCATGAAATGTACCCCCATAAACTCATGTGTTTGACCATTTGGACCTCAAACTGGTTGGTACTGTTTGGGGAACATGACTACATTTGGGGATGTAGGACCTCGCCAGTGGACATAGGCCACTAGAGGCCAGCCCTGCTTCAGGCCCCCTGCCCTACTTCCTGATTCTCCAACATGTAAGCAAGACACACTGGAAGCTGCCACCACCACAGACAGAGCTGCTGCAGCCATGGTAGCCTTTAAACTGTGAGCCAAAATAAACCGTCATCCACTGAAGCTGTTGCTATACCTAATTTACCTTTCTATTGCTGTGACAAAACATCCTGGCCAAAGCCACTTACAGAAGGAAGGGTTTACTTGGGGCTAACAGGTGCAGAATCGTCTCCATGACCATCAGATCAGGGAGCATGGCTGCAGGCAGACAGGCAGGCATGGCACTGAAGCCATGACTGAGATATATCCCCATCCACAAACAAGAAGCAGAGAGCACGGCAGGGGAGGCACGTGCCTTTTTTTTACTATTATTTTTTTTTCTTCTTTCTTTCTTTTTTTTTTTTTTAAGGCAGTATTTCTCTGTGTAGCCTTGGCTGTCTTGGACTTGCTTTGTTGGCCTCAAAGTCAGAGATCTGCCTGCCTCTGCCTCCCTGAGTGCTGGGATTACAGGAGTGTGCCATTGTGCCAAGTTTGTTTATTTTCTTTTTATTATTGAAAATATTTTTCTATACAATATATTCTATTCATGATTCTCTCTCCCCAACCATTCCCAGTCTCCCCACCTCCTCACCCAGCCAAATCCACACCTTTTCTTTCTTTCATTAGAAACAAACAGGCATCAAAAAACAAAAACAAAAAACCAGAATAGGACAAAACAAACAAACCAACAGAAAAAGAACCAAACACACACACATGAAACACATACTAAGACACACACAGAAATCCCATAAAAACACAAAATTGGAAATCATAGTATATAAGCAAAAGATCTGTAAGGAAAGAAAAGGCCCAAACAGACAAAACGTGGATTTTGTTTTGTGTTGGCCATTACTGCTGGGCCTGAGACCTGCCTTACGTGTAGTTTGTATACCCAGTGAGGCACTGTCGGATTAGTTTGTATACCCAGTGAGGCACTGTCGGAGAAAATTGATTTTTCCTTTGGGAGCAGTTACCAGTTGGAGATAGCTCCTAGGTTTGTGAAGGGGGCCTATGTCCCCACTTCCCCTCTCGGCATGTGGACCTCATCCGGCTTAGACCTGTGTGTACTGCCATGACCTCTGTGATGTGTGCATTTGTCCTGCTGTACCTGGAAGACCTTGTTTCCTTGTCGTTCATCCCGCTGGCTGTTAGGACCTTTTGACCTCCTCTAAACATCTACAGAGTTCCCTGGGCCCTGAGGAGAGGAACTGCTGGAGACATCCCATTTAGGACTGAGTGTTCCACGGCCTCTCGCTCTGTACACTGCCCAGTTGTGAGTCTCTGTATTTGCTCCCATATGCTGCAGAAGCTTCTCCGGCTGCGGTGACATTAGTTTTTTGAAACCTTAAAGCCCACCTCTTCCAACAAACCCATACTTCCTAATTCTTCCCAAACCAACAGGGACCAAGTATTTAAACATGTGAGCCCATGGGGGGTCATTCTCGTTCAGACTACCACAGTACCCAAAAGAATGCCAGAAGAACCCCAAAAGCCATATCCACGCATACTGCAGGGCTTTCGCAAATCCTTGTGGTTTTATGAAGACACGGAGACCTCTACAGTTTAAAGCTGCTGGCCTTTTGTTGAGGCAGTCTCTCAGCTAGCTTCTTGAACTTACCCTGATTTCTCTGCCATACCATCTCTCCATGGTGGTTCTCCTGTTTCCAGCTTCGTCCATCTCCATGTCTCTTCCAGTCGCTCTGCCTGCCCGGAAGTCCCGCCCCTGTATTTCCGGTGCCAGTTCTTGCCCTCAGCTCTTTATTACACAGAAAGCCACCTTCCAGTCGGAACCAATCAGCAAGAAGACAATGCCTGACCCATCTCTTATTGGTTTCCCTTTGGCAAGTGAGGAAGTACATGCATTTACAAATAGAAAAATGTCATGATGGGCCTTAGAAGGACAAATACCAAAATCCTGCCAGCACTTAGCTCTCTCTCAGAACAGAATTAACAAATGAAAATACAGGGACACACCTTCTCAGTGTGAGGGAAGATCATCCCAATACATGCAGCCCTTTGAAATAGCATCCTATTTCCCAACCACCTACCTGCATTATCCCTGACTGAGCCTCATAGCCTCTGTCTTAGGGCTTCTATTGCTGTGATAAAACACAATGACCAAAAGCAAGCTGGGAAGGAAACGGTTTATTTAAGCATAGAATTCCACCTCACTAGAGGAAACCTGGGCAGAAACTCAAACAGGGCAGGAACTTATACAAAGGCTATGGAGGAATGCTGCTTTCTGCTTTGCTTTTCGTGACTTGCTCAGCCTGTTTTCCTTTTTTTTTTTTTTTTTTTGAGACAGGATTTCTCTGTGTAGCCCTAGCTGTCTTGGAACTCCCTCTGTAGACCAGGCTAGCCTCGAATTCATAGATCTGCCTGCTTCTGCCTACTGAGTGCTTCCTGATACAACCCAGGACCACCCCAGGGGTGGAATTACACATATTGAACTGTACCTTCTCACATCAATCATTAATCAAGAAAACGTCCCGTAATCTTGTCCACAGCCCAATCTGGTAGGGGCATTTTCTTTATTGAGGTTTCTTCTTCCCAAATGACACCAGCCTGTGTCAAGGCGGCAGGAAATCAGCCATCGCAGTCTCTAGCATCCCGGCGTCTAGCGATTTCACCTGTTTCTCCATTCCCTGCTTGTGAGCAATCAGAAACTTGATACTTCATGCTCACCCATCAGTGAGCATCACAAAGTGTCAACAATGGGAGGCAGAATGAGGAAATCAGGTCCCGCTCCTCTCTAGTTGTTGGGCTTGAGTTATATGGTCTTGGAAAGCAAGCCTGTAACATAAATGCATAGCTTGCCCACATGTATGTCTGTGCATCACATGTATGAGAGAGGGAGCTTTCTCACACTCGGGGCTCAGGCCTCTCTGAAGCAGGAGCCCAGAGCTAAGGAAAGAGCAGGGCCTCAGGTGGACAGGGCTCCCGTGTAAAGGCGGAAGGGAAAGGAGAGGGCGGTCTAGGGCAGAAAGACAGGCGCCAGGCACTGTGACTGAGGTCAGCTGTCTCTAGACACAGCAGATGCAGGCAGCCAAGGCCTTTAGGCCAAGAGAAATTGTCCTCAGTGAGAGCAGAGGTAAGAACTGGAGCTGTTCAAACACGGAGGTGAAGTGGCTGGTTTGGGTTTCCAAGAATTCTTGTTGAGACAAGCTGAAGGTCATCGCAGCCAGACAGTGTAATCCAGTCACACAGCCAATAGGAGCCTGCCAGTCACGGCCAGTGTGAGCCTGTCACAGCCAGTGTGAGCCTGTCACAGCCAGTGTGAGCCTGTCATGGCCAGTGTGAGCCTGTCACAGCCAGTGTGAGCCTGTCAGTCATGGCAGTGCAGCCTGTCACACAGCACTGTAGCTGTAAGGCTGCCTTCCACCTTTTGTTGTTTACATTTTAAAAATCTTTTTTTCGAGATGTATTTGTTCTTATTTTATGTCTATGGATTTTTTGCCTCCAAGTATGTCAGAAGAGAGAGTTCGATCCTCTTGGAACTGGAGTTACAGACGGTTGTGAGCCACCACGTGGATGCTGGGACTCGAACCTGGATCCTCTAGAAGAACAGCCAGTGCTCTCTACCTCTGAGTTGTCTCTCCAGCCCCTGGACTTTTTTAACAGTGAGTCTGCTCTGCTTTTACCATTAGGAAAAGTGATAGAGTTAGTGTTGGGGGCGCAGTTTGCATAGCATACACCAAGTCCTGGGTTTGATTCCTACCGCCACATAAACTAAATATGACGGTTTGGCCTGCAATCCCAGCACTCCTCCGGAGGATCCGAAGTTCAAGGTCATCTCGAGTACACAAGGTGTTTGAGGTCAACCTGGGATGTATGAGATCCTGTCTCAAAAACAAAAATAATTATAAAGCTATTAAGGATTATTAAACTAAAGAACGGCTTAGGACACAGGCAGGCTTGATGCCCTACGGCCTGGGAGCCCCTGTCAGCACGAGTTGTGCACAGACAGGCGCTGCGGGGCAGAACCAGGCTTCAGGGCTTGCTAAACTACATTTATGCTCCATCGCCTCTCCCCTCTGGGCGGGTACATCTGTGTTTTCTCTGTGTCTGGGGAGCCTGACCTTCCAAAATGCCTGAGGGAAGAGAGGAGCTGAAAGGGGATGAGGACTGATCCAACCCCAATCAGCAGGAGCCGCCTTCCAGCCAGCCCCACCCCCTCTCTGGGCGGCCCTGGGGGGTCGAAGCTTCTCCCCAGGGAGCCCACTCTCAGTCACTGAGCTCTGAGGCTTCGGGAGCGCTCTGTTGACAGTGCCCAGCAACCCGGACTGGGTTATCAGCAGGGGATTGGAGTTCCCAAGAGGAAGGTCCTGCCCCGAGGTCGGCAGACCCGTGGGTCAGAGGTGAAGCTGACTCTAGAGCTGGACCTGTCCTTAGACCCCGCCCTGTAGCAGGGAGTTCCAAATCCCTGCACATGCGGCCAGGAAGACTGCCTTCAAACGCGGGGAGACCTGCAGGGCACCGACCTCTGCACCCGCAGTTGGGCAACCTGGTGATTTCACAGACGGAGGAGTGGAGTGGGCTCCACACGTCCTCTTCCTGGATCTCATGGCCAGCAACGTCAATATGTTGTCCTCTGGGGACCTAAGCCAACGCTCCTTCACCGCACTGGATGAGTGGGAGGAGTCCAGAAAAACCTGTGCTCTAGGTGGGACAGGCTTGGGTCACCTCGGGCCCCCAAGCAGACAGTAGCAGGACAGTTCAGATCTCAGATACTGCGGGTCGTGGAAAGAAGTGCAGGGGAGCCTTTACACATCTCAAGCTCACACTTGGATCTGCCTCAGTTTCCTCACTTGGGGAAAAAGTGGGATGCTACAGCCTCTGCCTCTCACCGTGGCTGCTGGACGGGGGAACTGTGAGAGCCTGCTCTCCTCCCCCACCTCTGTGACCTATTGCCTCTCCTCCACTCCACCCACACCTTTCCTAACATCTAGATCCAGATCAGCCCCAGCGGCCAGGGAACGGTTTCTGAGTAAGTCACTTCCCTCTCCAGATTTCAGGTTCCTTGTTTTCTAAAACTGGGGACTTTGTATAAAGATCAAAGGCAGGAAAATTAGCCATCTCAGACCCACTAGCAGCTTAGGCCTCATAGGATGGGCCGTAACACAGACTTGAGGATGGATGGAGGTTAGTGGAAGGGTTGGGGACACTGAGAGACCAAGGAGAGTCATCGTCCAGAGGGCTAAGTGTCCACAGTGGTTCTCGCCCTTCCTGACGCTGGGAAACTTTGATCCAGTTCCTCCTGCTGTAGTGACCCCAACTATATTATTATTGTCGTTGCTGGTAAATACTTTTGCAGACAGAGGTTTGCCAAACAGGGCGTTACGCATAGGTTGAGAACCACCGAGAAAGAGATACCAGGAGTAACTTCTGAACTGTCCTTTTCCTGCTGAAGGAATCTTTCTGGGTCTCTGTTCAAAAACACCAGCACAAGCATGTAAAGCCATGCTCCGGAACATCCACAGCCCAAGACTGAGGCCCTGGGTCAAAACAGAAAGCTGCCTGCAGGGACAAACAGGGTGCTGAAGCACTGTGGAGACTGGGATGCCGAAACAAATCGAGGAGCTGAAGGCCTGCTGTAATCTCTGTAAGCCTGTAACCCCAGCACTCAGGGAGGCAGCGGCAGGCGGATCTCTGTGAGTTCGAGGCCAGCCTGGTCAACAAAGTGAGTCCAGGACAGCCAAGGCTACACAGAGAAACCCTGTCTCAAAAAACAAAAAATCATAGAGGGCTAATAATGTTTATTATTTGCCCTATGATTATTATGGCTCTATAAATAACCTGCTATCACAATAAAAGACACAGACACCTGCTAGATTTTAGAATAGCCTTATTTCACCTGGAGCAGGGCAGATATTAACTCTCTAAAACTATCCTTACCTCCCAGCCCCATCTCAGGCTACCTGCCATTCATAATTCCATAAATACTTCCTTATTCTTCACCTGGCCAATTCATCCATGCTGGCCATGTGCTTCTCCCATGCTAACCCATAGCCCTGTGCTCCTTCCTTCCTCCTCCTACTCCTGTACTGTCTTCTCCCAAAGCAGAGAACTTTAGCCACACCCACCCCATCTGCCCTGTCCAGGTGTGAAGGATATCTATTAGTCAAACAGGAATACATTTCTAGGCAAGGTACATGAGTTTCTGCTCCTAAAAGACAGCAAACAGACCTTGGTGAGCAAATTAATTAACAATCAAATACAAAGCACCAGACCATGCTGCTACAGATCTCATTATACCTCATGCCTCGAGTACATGTTCTGCAGGTGAATGGGATGTTTGCACACACACGCTGTGACACATAGAAGTAGAAATCTTAAATTGCCTATGCATGTGTAAATAACGCCTTACCCACGCTCATGTAAGCAGGTCTAGTTAAAGTTACTGGGTCACCAAAACAATAGATGGTGAGCATGAAAGCAGCAGAGGGGGGGAGGGCAGTCAGGGAGCCAGCTCAATCAGTAAAGTTCTTGATGTACAAGGTCCAGAGTTCAGAATCCTAGCACCTATGTGAAAACTAGGCAGGGTACCACGTGTGTGTGAGACCAGTGCTTGGTGACAGAGACGGGCAGATCCCAAAAGTCTCTGGGCAGACAGTCTAGCCTACACAGGCAATTCCAGATTCACTAAGAGACAATATCCGGAAAAATAAAGGGGAGAACAATTG